CTTTGCTGCGTTCATGATTCCTCTCTTCCCCCAACTCTCTAGTCACCTTTTAACCAGAGCACACAGGTGACAAGGATGTGCAGGGTGGGGCAAAAGTAGGTGTACGGTTGTGAGTACGAGAAACAGGGTTTATTCTTGTATTATTATTTATCGTGTTATTTTCCATCTGAACCACTGTAAACCTACTTTTGCCCTACCCTGTATATATATGCAGCTGTACACATCAACGGATGTTTAGATGTAGCTCTTTGCCCTAAATTAACTGATCTCCTGTCAGTCACTTTAATCCTGAGCTCAGGTCAAAATGAAGGAGAAATTTATTAATCCTTCATTTTGAAATGTAGTTAGAGCTTACATGCAGTTAACATAAAACTTTATGTGGTTATAATTTACTTTTAGCACAAGTATATGATGTTAGCATCATGAAATTATATTTGTGGTTTTCATCAGGAGTAGTGATATCGACTTTGCACCACAAAAGTATGGGTTCATGCAGCAGAGTATAAAAGATTTATAGGGGTCCGGCTGGTGTGGCTCAGTGGTTGAGGGTCCACCTATGAACCAGGAGGTCATGGTTCGATTCCAGGTCAGGCCACATGCCCGGGTTGCGGGCTTGATCCCCAGTATGGGGTGTGCAGGAGGCAGCCGATCAATGATTCTCTCTCATCCTTTCTTTTTCTTCCTTCCTTCCTTCCTTCCTTCCTTCCTTCCTTCCTTCCTTCCTTCCTTCCTTCTTTCCTTCCTTTCTCTCTCTCTCTCTCTCTCTCTCTCTCTCTCTCTCTCTCTCTCTCTTCCTTTTATTGATTTCAGAGAGAAAGGGAGAGGGAGAGAAAGATAGAAACAGCAATGATGAAAGAGAATCATTGATTGGCTGCCTCCTTGCACGCCCCCCTACTGGGGATCGAGCCCACAACTCTGGCATGTGCCCTTGACTGGATTCGAACCCGAAGCTCCACAGAGCCCAACTGGCTAGGGCTCATCATTGATGTTTCTATCTCTCTCTCCCTCTCCTTTCCTCTCTGAAATCAATAAAAATATTGTAAAAAAGATTTATAGGAGCTTGGAGAGGAGGACTAACAGGAGAGAATAACATTCTTAAAAGGACAACCACCACAAACCACCCCTTCTTCCCATAGTATGTTCCCATAGGCATTACAGAATTTTCAGGGACAGTTCTGAGCTGAGTGGGGATAGAAAGTATAGAATAATTAATTCCTAGGCCTCTCCTGTGCATGGCCCACCCTACCAAAAAGAATGTATCCCACACATGTAAAATAACCAGTCAGACACTGGCTATCAACTAATATACTTTCACTATGGTTCTGTATAAGACACCTAAAATGGGTTCTGCTCAATGACTTACACCTAATGTGGGTACTTTTTTTGCATCTGAGAGAATTTATTTTAAAATCATCTCTTAATTTCTCCCACAAAAAGCAACATGACTTACACTGAAAGCATTTTCACCAAGTTGTTTACAGGAGATATTCATGTTAAAAGTACATGTACTGCAAATTTACAGCAAAAAAGTGTCTTTTGGTATCTGCAGAGTTGACCTAGTGCTATGAACAAAAAAGTAGATTCAATTCCTGAAATGATTTTCCAGTTTCATCACCAACTCATTGTGCGTGCTTAAGCAAGTTACTCAGCCTCTGAGTATGTTAGTTTCTCCACCGATAAGATAGGGTTAATATTATTTGCTATTAGATAACGTCAGCAAAGCACGTGGAGAGCCTCCGATGGAAGGCGCCACAAGTATCTCACTATCTGAAGCGTGACCTCATTCTGTCTGGACGGTGGACTTTACCAGGCTTGCTGGTGATCCCAGCACCTGCCTTCAAAACTTTTCCTGTTCAACTTGCTTTTCACTTTACTCATTTCTATTTAGACTCTGTGCATTTTCACTTCACTGTACTGTTTGCATTGTTTTGAGGAGAGGTGATGCTTTGAAGAAACCATGAGACCATGGTTTCTGGGTTTCTTTTGTTTTTTTTTTGTTGGTTTTTACGCATATGCTTATATTTAAGATTTGAAGCAAATACAAAAGCACTCGGACAACTTTGTAATTATAACTATGAGAGTTATATTAGCTTTCTTGCTTGAGTTATTTACATTTTAATTCATGTTAAAAGGTAATTTTCAGCGTGCCCATATATCTTTATGTTCCTTCGTGGAAGACTTGAGGCAGATGTTGAAACTGCTGTCAATTTTAATGTTTGTGCCCCTTTTCTAGAAGAACAAGATAACATGATACAAGGGGGCAAACAATTATTTGCTGAGGACTAAATCTGAGTTTAACCTCTAGTCCAGCCAGCTAATACATATTGATCTCCTCTGGTAAAATGGCAAAGGTCAAAGGGCTACTTCAGGAACAACCAGATGCCTCTAAAAGTAGACCTGCTGATTCCATAACAAATAAAACTCACGGGTGAAGTCAGAGGTAGGAAGTCGGCTGCATTTCCTGAACACGGGAGCCCTTCACTCCCCGTGTCTGTCAGCCTTCTTATCCGAGGCTAATAAGAATATTTCAGAGGAGCCGGCTTGGTCTTTGAAATCTATCAATTAACATCAGAAAATCTAATTCTTGGCACTATTTCCAAAGGAAAAGATTTCATCAGAATCTGCCCGGTAAGATGTTATATTTCAAGTGACAAGTGTTACACCATCCAAACACAGCTTGAGTCATCTGTTGAACAATGGGCAGATTATGTACTTCTCTAAGAGATGAACTTTCATCAGAGACATCAAGCAACATACTAGGGGCTTTACAGTATTTCCCTCATATCCATTATATGTTTATGGTTTATCAGGTATGGTTTTATATCATTTTTGCTCCTTAAGAAGTAGATATGATGATGGGATCGACTATAGCATGATGGTTCAGAATGTAGGCTCTGGAGTCAGGAGGTGAGTTCAAATCCCATCTCCACCAGTTACTAACAGTACAGCTTTGTGCCTCTGTTTCCTCATCTATAACTGGGAGATAGTAATAGGATCTACTTCAAAGGATTATGAAAATTAAATGAGAAACCATGTGTGCAGGGCCTATGGTGGTGTCTGGTGCATATTAAGTGTTCAATAAATGTTAGCTTAGACTCTACTAAGCTTGGTGTGACACAGGTTGGGGCCTCTGAAAAGCTGTGAGACAAACTTTCATGTGCAGGATTCTTACTAGGGAGTGCCCTTGGTATGAACACCTATGGAAGGGAAGGAAAGGAAGCAGAATGGGGGAGAAGGAGAAGTCACACTGTAATAGCCTCAGCCAACCCCATAGGGAAGCTTGTGTGCAAATGCCTCATCTGAGTTACACTGTGTCGGACTGAGAAGACTGAGCCTTTGTATGGCCTCCATCAGTCATTGCATGTGCACCACTCTCCCCCTCGCCGGGCAGCATCTTGGGCAAAGTGGCTCTCCGCAGCTGAGGCAACCCATGAAGTGACTGACAGTGCAGACTGTCCATGGACGGCACGCCCAGCAGCTGGTGCAACGAAGTCTTCCTTGTAGGGATCTAGGTGGCCCACCTTCATTGTTCAACACAGGGTGGTCTGTGCAGCATTTGGAAAAGAATGTCAACAAATTACAGATGCTTGAATAGAAGTGAGGTCTTTGAGGGTAAGAGCAGGATAGTCAAGCTGAATAAGCCTAAACCATGGGAACAGGAGAAAGAACTAGATATGGATGATGGAAAGTTTTCTCATTCATTTTAATTCCCCAGGTTTTTGGAGAGGTTGGATTCTAGTTCCCTGGAAGCCCTTTGTTTAATGAACATTGTGATGGGTTGGGGTTTGAAATGGAGGTGTAACCTGGGAGAAAGCCCTCGAATTCTGCATAATAAGGGTCACCTAGGAGGGTGGAAATAGAAGCCAGCCACAGCCCATGCCATTCCCAAGGGGCGAGGAGAATCATTGTTAAGAATTTTTTAGCTAATGTGGTAACTAGTTACGGCTAACATTGTATCTTTGATGTCCTTGACACTTTCTAAGTGTTTTCCATGTATCATCTCACTTGATCCTCACAACACTCTAAAATAGTAGTTACCAGGATTTCTCCCATTTTAGAGACGAGGGAACTGAAAGAAGTAATTTGCCAGTGTCGTGCAGTGAGAAAGGTGTGGAGCTGGGTTTGGGACACAGGCAGGCAGAAGCCAGATTGTAGGGCCGGTGCTTTTAATCGTCCTTTGCCCTCAGTCTCTGTGCAATTGCCACTGCTTCTGATACAAATGGACTCTATCTTAGGAATTCAAAGAGGTGTCATTTTGCATCAAGACTGAGAGAGGGCAAAAACAGAGGCTGTGTGGTATGCAGGGAAAGGTGACACCCAGGTTGCGTGTTGGTATTTTGAAAAAGATGAACCGTGAGACAACACTGCAGGCCTTTAGTTATAAAAGCAGGATGCCAGTGTGGGCAAACATGAGTCAACAGGGAGGATTGTGTGATGACTGTCTTACCCGACTTGAACTTCTTCAGACCCTTGGTACGTGCAATACCGGATTCCACAAAGCTGAGCAAGGAGGAAAGAAAGAGAAGGGTGTAAAGGACAGCCACAAATGAGAATCTGCAGGTTGGAAAAGGACTCACCTATATAGCGTCCAAACAAACTGGGAGGGAAATACCGTCCACTGGGTCCTAGAGACTATATACACAGTGATCAGAACAGATGTTTTAAAGCCGGTTGCCTGGGTTCACATCTCTGCTTCGCCACTTGCTACTTGGGTATTTAACTTTTTAAAACTGATTTTTAGGAAGGGAGAGAGAGAAACATCGATCAACTCTCTCCTGCAACCTGGGTGTGTGCCTTGACCAAGAATCGAACCGGCCATCTTTTGGTGCATGGGACGCTGCTACAACCAACTGAGCCGCACCAGCCAGTGCGCTACTTGGATGTTCTACTTTCTGTGCTTCAGTCTCCTGTCTACTAAATTGGATAACGGTACCACTTCACAGGGTTATTGTGAGGATTAAATTAACTAATGCATATAAAGCACTTGGAACAGCTCTAATAAGCACTTGATAAATAGCTAACAAAATATTAAAAAGGGTGAAGGCAACTTAATACATATTCAGATATAAAGATCTTTACATAGCTCTTTTCCATCTTTGTTGTACAAAATATGAGGAAGTCCATTTAAACTATGAGACTGAGAACAGATTTTTAAAAATGCTTGCCCATCAAGAAGTGCACATAATTACTGTGGGTGAGTGTTCTCTATAGAGGGCGGGAAGGCATGGAGCAGATTCTCTTCTTGAGTCAGCCTGAGAATGGTGCTCCAAGTGGGAAAACGCTGAAACATTAGGTTTGAATCAGGGCTACATGGCTGCCTATCACACCTCACTTGCCCAAGACACGGACTGAAAACTAAAGAAAGCTCAGTGTTCTGTTGAAGATCTTACAATAAATAGTAGCCATTATCTATTAAAATAGTCCCCAGAGTTTTGATAACTGTTTCCATTTTTTCAGCACAGAAAGCAGAGAAGCCATGGGAAGAAATCCGAACACATTTGTAGCAGAACTACAAACTTATCTAGACAGAGCCATGACCAGGACCCAGATTTAAAAGCTTTAAACGTTATTTCCATTACCTTTGATTTGAAGAAAATGAATTAACCAGTTTGACATCACATTATGTAGAGGTCTTTATATACTTGAAGATGTATTCAGTTGCCCCTTAACCATCTCTGCTTATTCTTTGGTCTGACCTCTCAGCAGACTGCCATTCCCACTTTTTCTGGACCCTGTTAAAGGGGTGACCTAGGCAAAGAGGTTTAACCATGTATTAACCAGGGATATTCCAATCAGATCCACCCCTCGGTGTGTTTAAGTCACAAAGGGGAAGTGGCTAAGGCACAGTGAGTCGGAAGTAGAGAGGCAGAGGGAATGGCTGCTGAGACTCCACCCAGAACAGCCTTCCCGGTTCGTGTATATTCCTGCCGTGGGGTCTGAGACGTATATCCTTACAACGCCCACTCCACTCTTCCTCCTTTTCTCTTTTGCTGGTTAAACAGAGTTTTTGTTTATAATCAAACAATTCCTGGCTAAATGCATGACTATTTCTACTTCACACTGCTAAAAGTCAACATCAAGACATGCAGAGAGAAGAATCCAGTCTACCACTGTGTGCTTAGTGTTTCTGGGAGAGAAGATACATGAGCTAAATAGATTCTTAGCAATACAGCACTTGGAAGATTCCTCTGTGAAGACACCACTTTCAATGATCAAACCTTGTCAATTCCACTCCTCATCTTACTAATCCATCTTCCCCCCACACCATCTCTGAACTATAATATCCTAAGGCAATATGGGAAGATGTAAGGAAACTTGCTAGCTCTTTTAAGGAAACTCTAATTCCAAATCTCACTGTGGAAAGATCTCAGGGCCTCCCAGCTTTGTCTCTTGTCATTCCCCTTCCCCTTGGGGACCTCTCACTTATGATCCTTGCTTCTCCAGAAAAGGGTTAATTTCCTTACACCACTGGAATAGGCCCCTTTGTCTTAAATTTCTCATAGCACCACTGAATCCAGGGTGAAATACAGGGTGTCCCCTCAAAAATGCATATACACTTAACAGCTAATATCTCTATTTTGAAAATGAAGTGTATTTTAATAAATTATTCAGCGTGTATATAGGGGGATGGACATCCTATATATGTGTGTATATAGGGGGACACCCTATCCTATATAATAAAAACCTAATATGCTAATCGACTGAATGACCAGTCGCTATGATGCACACTGACCAGCAGGGGGCAGACACTCAATACAGGAGCTGCCCCCAGCCCGCAGGCCCCCAGGCCAGCCAAGGCGGGTGCTAGCAGGGGCCCCCAATCGCCCCGCTGGTCACCCAACAGATCGGCCCTGATTGCCGGCCAGGCCTAGGGGCCCTACCCATGCACAAATTTCATGCACCAGGCCTCTAGTAGTTATGTAAAACTTTAGAAAAAGGTTTGGGAATAACGAGGAAAAGCAAATGAAACACTGTGAAAGATACAGCTTACCTATTCTAACTAACTAGTTAAGGTGTCCAATTTTTATTCAACAAATATTTGAGCACTCTATTGTGATTACTGTACATGTCATGACGACACACCTGCTCTCAAGAGGCATAAGGCAGCGGGAGTGTGCTAACTGCTGTGTCAGTGGTGATTCAGGATGAATGAGAGCACAGAGACAAGGCAGCCAGACCAGTATTTGGGGGAAGGGAATTAGGGAAGGTTTCAGTGAAGTTGTCTAAAAAAAACCCCAAGGCCTTAAAAAACAAATATGAATGAGCAGAGCATGAAACTGGGGAAAGGGAGAGGGCAGGAAATGAAGCATTCCAGAAGGTTCCAAGCATGTGCAAAAGGGAAGAGTACAATGTGTAGATTGTGAAGGGTTATTCCTTGTTTATGCTCAGGTGACAGGCTGTATTTTTCCTACCATTCAGAAGAGTCCACAAGAACGCCAGGATGCCTCTGAATCTAGGCCAGAGAGAGATACGTATTCAAATTCAGTTTCCTTTTTTTACAGACAATGGCATCTTCCTCAGTTTGGCTTCCCAGACTCAGGACTGACGTCTTCATTCCAGGTGTCTAATGCCAGTAGAATCGTCCTAAGATTTTGCCTTGACCTTGATAGGGACACTATGGCAGAACAGTCCATTAACTTTACACATTCAGCGAGAAATAAATTCTTCCTTACATTGCCACCGTAAAGGCCACTTTCCAAAGATGGAAGATTGAAGGGAAACCGGGGTTTGTCTTTAGTTTAGGCAGGAACTATGTAAACCCTTCTGTTACACTTCTCCTCACAGAATGAAAATCAAGGGTGTTTTGTTTGTTTGTTTTGATTTAAAGAACTTTATTTTCCTTCTCCGGATAGGAAGCCTACAAAATTTATTATGCTTTAACAGGAAAATACAGGGTCAGTCTTTCCCAAGAGGCCTTGTATTTCAACTCCATGGGCCAGAAAGACAGACTGAATGAAGCCAAGGGGGAGATCCGACTATAATCAATCTACTTTCTGACCAGTGGCACACAGGGTCCCTGACCTTCTCCGTTCTCCGGATTCTATGTCTATTCAGCCATGTGAGCACAGGCACTTAGGAGAAATGTGCACATCACTTCAATCATTTCCCCACTCCTGGATTTATCTTGATCCACTCAATGTCTGCTTTCTGCCAACAGTAAACCCCAGAGGTCAGGAGGTCAAAGGTTCTTGATGTCTACCTGGGGTTCCTTTGGAGGCCCAGCAACCAGCCTTTCCTTCAAGATCCATTCTGTACCTTTGGATCATGCTAACCGCACACAGTAATAACCCCGAGTTCCCAAGGCGGCATGACATGGGATGAGGAGGACCTACGGATCAAGCCTGCTAGAGAGAAGGCGAGGTGGATGCAAAAAGATGAAAATCAAGTTTACTTCGGTCTTTGTTTTGAGAATTGGAGGTTTAGAAAACTTCCTTAAATAGAAGGAAGTCATAAAAGGGAAGCAAATTAAGTTTCTAGACATTTGTATGATACAGTACTGAACTCTGGTTTTCCCTGGACCAATGTTGTCACCCAATGTCACAATGTGACTCATCTCTAGACACCCTAGTGCAGTGATGGCGAACCTTTTGAGCTCGGCGTGTCAGCATTTTGAAAAACCCTAACTTAACTCTGGTGCCGTGTCACATATAGAAATTTTTTGATATTTGCAACCATAGTAAAACAAAGACTTATATTTTTGATATTTATTTTATATATTTAAATGCCATTTAACAAAGAAAAATCAACCAAAAATATGAGTTCGTGTGTCACCTCTGACACGCGTGTCATAGGTTCGCCATCACTGCCCTAGTGTCTATTTTCAAGCTAATGACATTAAATTTTCCCTTGCAAAAAGATTATAACATAAACAGAAAATAGAGTATTTTAGGTAGCAATGATCTAAAATATAGCTGTTCTTGAGCATATATTCCCAATGGGCAAAACTCGGTACGTTGGGGAGCAAAAAATATTACTCTTCATCTATATAAAGCACAAAACTATATACGGTCCATAAACAGATGTCCAGAATCAGAATATTTGTGGTATTAAAATTTCATGGGGATAGACAATTCGAAAAAATATATCTAAAAAGGCTCTTCAGTGAGGAGAGAATGAAAAATTTGAGAAACACTTCTGTCAAGTCAGGAATACCTAAATTAACTTTATTCTAGTGATAATTCAAAATCCCAAGATAAAACAGAAAATCATGGAAATTCTACTTCTAACCTATGTACTTGTGACTGAATCCAATTCTGTGGCCTTTGTTTCTCCCAGCAGAAGTCACTCAAATTGTTCAAGTGTAAAGAAAACCCTAGGATTAGTAATATAAAAAAAGTTGATGAATCATTAAATTTACAACACATACAAAGAGTACAAACCAAGAAAAGTAGATTTATTTAAATTACTAAAATAGCTTTTAAAGTCATTTACGGATCAGCTGCTATAATTATTTTTCCAGAAAGGTAAGCAAAATTAATTACTTTAAAATTATTTTGGTCAGTGAAACATTTAATAAAAACAATTTGTTTCTCCATATAATATATAGGTATAAAATAAGCCTTTTCAAAAACTCTTCTTGTGTTAGAATCCTCTATAAGTCAGACGATCTGATTTCTGACAGGAACAAATTATAACAACATGAGGTATAAATTTATGAATACTGGTAGTCTTAGGGGGAAGAAATTAGACCACACTCTACTACCAGTCATGGGATCTTCAAAAGGGTTGTTGATAATTAAAAAAACAACAAGATGGCTCTAGGATTTTAAGATTCTAAGAAAATCAAAGCAATTGATAGATGAGAAAGCTGTTACAGATGCAAAAGATATAACCAAAATATTATAGTACAGTAATGTACAGTAGTACATTTTAACATCCTTCACACATGGTAAAGTTCACTTTCTTTTTGGCTTGAGGCACTCAAGTTTATCATGTGCATAGTAAATCTTTATATTTGTTATAAGAGTCACTAAAAGAGACTGTAACAAGTGGACATGTAGAAAATTAAACCCTTCAATAGCCCAGAAAAGCTGGTTAACAAATGGTCTACCAAGTCCCTCCCTTGCCCAGAAACTACATTTCTTAATTCAAAACAAAACTTAAGGATATATCCAAAATAAACCGCTCTGGATTTACCTGCCCTTAAAAGTCAAATGAACAAGTACACTTAACCTCGTGATATCATGCTTCACAATCGTTGAGTGGACCAAAAATTTCTTAAAAGTAAAAAAAGGACATGTGAAAAACAAATCCCAACAAAATGCATTGAGAATGGAGTTTAGATAACTATGTTTGACTGAGTCTCTGTGGCTTACTTAACATTTTACCTTTAAGAGTTATTTTTTCCCCTCCTTTCCTTCCCCATTCCACAAACTCTCTCTGTTCCTTTGCCTCCAAAATCAAAGGAAAAAATAACAACCCAAACACACACTCAGATGACCTTTCGCGTTACTTTTGTTCCTATAAGCAGAAGCTAAGGAACTCACACCTAAAAGAAAACAAAATGGGAAAACCCACAGTTGCATTTAGGGAGCTGCCTTACTAAAAACAAACGGAAAAGTCTACGTTAAAAATCGGGAGGCTTCGTAGGAAGGATTTTCTAGTCCATCCTACTGGTCATTCCATAGTAATAATGATTCAGCCAGCATCTAAATTGATCCTCTATGGGACTGCATATAACTTACAGTTCTCTGATACCAGTAACACAAATCTTAATGGAAATAGGGAAATGTTTCTCTCAAACAACAGGTAATAGGTCGGAGAAATGATTTAGAACTTTACTTCCTTCAGAAAGAAAACAGTTCTTTCACAAAGATGCTTTCTGTCTCTGGTTACAAAGTCCAAAAAATTCTCAGCACTTGGGACATGATTTCTCTTCTGTCGCCGCTTATAAGCAGATGCCCCTTTTCAGGGCGTTTTCAGGCTGTACAGGCAGGACGAGGTGGGAAATGCGGCTCCAGAGCCCACTCAGTTTGTCTGGGTCCATATGTTTGTAGGAGGTGGGTGTGTTAGAGTTGGTGAACTTGACTTTGAGGAAATCCCTCACTTTTTCTTCAATTTCCTTTAGGCCTAGACTGGTTCCAAGTGTTTCCTCCTCCAACAAGACGGTCAGGACTAAGGCTACATCTTTGAAGGCCGCATTTTCATGGTCACAATACTTGTAGAAGATCAAAGTGGAGCCGGCGGGCAGGGACTCGAAGCGGTGCACCACGGCTGCGTTCTGGCCATTTTGGAATCCATTGCTCAGTTCTTGGTCCACCTCTAGTTTCACAGCATCACTGTCCTCAGTAGCTCTGCCTGTCCCATCGATCCGGATGGCACGGACACTTCGGTGGGATGAATAGGCATCAGCGATTTGTTCACTCAGACACTTGAGTGCTTCTTCAGCATCACGGGCAGCGGTCAGCAGCAGGATAGCAGGCTGAGGACGAGGCTGGGAGCTGTTGAGATGTTTTTCCAGGAATGTTAGGCTCCTTTTCCACAGCTTCTCATCTTGACCTTGGTACTTATTCATAAGTTGTTTCATCTGGTTCTGGAACTCTTGCACAGCAGTGCTTTCTACCTCAGGAACACGAGTGTACCACCAACTCCAAAGGAAAAGAATAGTGAGCACAAGTATTGGCTGCCAACACCACTTCATCTTGACAAAAAATGCATTTTTGGGTTGTCCAGTCATGTCTGCTCAGGAAAAAAAAATGACAGATACAAATATAAATTTCTTCGAGTCAAGGGCAAGTTGACTTGTAAAACCAATATTAATCTTTTAAAAAATGTTTTTAATGAATTTTTAGAGAGAGAGGATGGGAGAGATAGAAACATCTATGAGAGAGAGATATCAACATTGATCGGTTGTCTCATGCATGCTCCCTACCGAGGATTGAGCCTGCAAGCCAGGCATGTGTCCTGACCAGGAATCAAACTGCAACCTCCTGGTTCATAGGTCGATGCTCAACCTCTGAGCAACACTGGCCAAAAAAACCAATACTAATCTTTATAAACAGACAAAAGAGGAAGGAATTTAAAGAAGAGAGCTTATAATTTACTTTCTTAATAATTTATTACACATTTTTAAGAAAATCTCACACCAATATGTTTTAAGTTATGTGTATAAGCATACTTATATCTCTTCAATACCCAAATGATAAAAACTCAGAGGAAAAAGTAAAATTTAAATGTATCAAATGGCATAAACAGGTCAGAAATAATTCTATATAATAAAAGCCCAGCCACCAAACGGTGGAATGACCAGAACGAAGGACTGCTCGACCAGTTGCTGTGACGAGCACTGACCACCAGGGGTCAGATGCTCAATGCAGAAGCTACCCCCTGGTGGTCAGTGCGCTCCCACAGTGGGAGCAGCTGCTCAGAGGGCAGGTCCATAGCTGCTCGGCTGACTGGGATGAGTGGCGCTCCCACAGTGGGTTGATCCCCGCAGGCCACGCCCCCACCAGTGCACAAATCCCATGCACCAGGCCTCTAGTATAATTTATAAAGCAAAACTATTATTACTACTGCTAATACTGGGAAAGTAAGCAATATTAAAAGATACTTTATAAAGCATTTTTAAATTTAGAAACCCAGAGTTCAGATGGCTAATCAAGATAGAATTTTTAAAGTTTTTGAAGTGTATAAAAAGATAAAGAAAAGGATGCACTCTAAGTGAACACCTTGCATATAATATAGCTAGCTGTCCCTTTGGTTGCACTGATGCAAGTTAACACTGGTAAAATTTAGTTTGCAACTCATTCCTAATTATTATTGGCTATCATGATATCAAGTTACTTATCTACTGCTTTTCAGTTTATAAAGCACTCTCTCATATGTCACACACTTAATTGTTTAATATAATGGCAATGAAAATCCTTCTATACCTTCTAATTATTGACTGATTTCTTTAGGCTAATAATTCACTATGGACCTTTTAGAGCAATAGTTGTCATAGGTCTCATAATACTAACACATTATTAACTTTTCCCATCATGTTGACACTTGCATTGATGGTACAGAAAACAAATGATTACTTAGAATGAATCACAAGGCAGTGGCACCAAATTGTACAATTATAGTTTTTGTATTCTTCATGGGCATACATTCAGTTTTACTTAAGAATGTCCTTCATAAAGCAGTTAAAATTATGTATCTTACTATAACTTGAGGTTAATAAGAAATAATTTGAGCACAAATTTTAATATTCTATGTGAAGAAATTGGAAGCACTCATAAAGCACTTTGCCCTAACTGGTTTGGCTCAGTGGGTAGAGCGTCGGCCTGCGGACTGAAGGGTCCCAGGTTCGATTCCGGTCAAGGGCATGTACTTTGGTTGTGGGCACATCCCCAGTGGGGGTGTGCAGGAGGCGGCTGATTGATGTTTCTCTCTCATCGATGTTTCTAACTCTCTCTCCCTCTCCCTTCCTCTCTGTGAAAAATCAATAAAATGTATTTTAAAAAATAAAGCACTTCTTTTTATTAAAACTGAATTTATTGGGATAACATTGGTTAATAAAACTATACAGGTTCAGTTACATAAAGCACTCTGATGCATAGCCCAATACAATGGCTGTTTCAGGAAAAGAACTTGTGCAACTGAGGTGTGAACTGACCTAGTGCTTTTTTTCATGAAATTTTTCAT